CCTCCCCGCCGCCCCCCGCACTGCATCACCCCGTCCCGCCCGCAGGACCTCAAAAGCTCCAACTTCTCCGATGTCGCGCTGGCCCTCAACGGTCTGTCCAACTTCGTCACTCCGGAGCTGGCTGAAAATCTGGCCTCCGATGTTCTCCGGAACATGACCCACTCGCGTCCGTATATCCGCAAGAAGGTTTGTCTCTTGTCTGTGCCCCTTCGGCACCCCCTTATCCATTTCCGGACATACCTGTGCACGCACCGCCACGCACGCCTGCCGCCATGTCGGCACCCGACTAATCGGTTCCTCTCGTCACCCGCCACGCCAGGCCTGTCTCGCCATGTACAAGATCTTCCTGCGGTACCCGGACGCCCTGCGGCCTTCCTTCCCCCGGCTGACCGAGTGCCTGACCGACTCGGAGCCGAGCGTCGTCGGATCGGCCGTCAGTGTCATCTGCGAGCTGGCCCGGCAGAACCCGGCCAACTTTGGCCCCCTCGCGCCCACCCTCTTCCAGTTGATGCTCAGCTCGTCCAACAACTGGACCCTCATCAAAATCATCAAGCTGGTGCGTGATGCTGGTCTTCCCTCCTCCCCCTCGCACCATGGTTTCCGGTTGCCGGTTCTCACCGCCTGACGGCCGCCGACCTGGCACACCCGGTCGGGGGCTTGCTCCTCTGGTTGCCAGTTTTCCAGCCTCTGCCTGGAGCTCCCTCGCCTGTCGCGCAAGCTGGCCGAGCCGATCCTCAACATCATCCAGACGACGTCGGCCGTGTCGCTGCTGTATGAGTGCATCTCGGCCGTGGCCAATGGCATGATCGACCAGCCGGAGCTGGCCAGCGCCGCCATCCACAAGCTCTGCGGCTTCTTCAAGGACGCCGACCAGAACATCAAGTACCTCGGTCTGACCACCCTGCGGACCTTTGCCCAGACCTACCCGAAGGTGGTGTCCGAGCACCGGGCCGTCATCCTGGACTGCCTGAATGACTCGGATCTGAGCATTCGCCGTCGGGCCCTGGACCTGGTGGAGTACATGGTCTCGCGTCGCAGCCTGCCGGAGCTGGTGGATCGCCTGCTGGTGCAGCTGGACCCGTCCTACATGCCGGAGACCACCATCGAGGGGTCCCCCTCGACCGGGGGGCGCATTGTGTGCAAGGCGCCGATCGTGGACTCGGGCTTCCGCTCGGAGCTGGTTAGCCGCATCATCGGGGTGTGCTCCATCCGGTCGTACCGCTACATCAACGATTTCGACTGGTACTACGGCATCCTGATCCGTCTGGTTCGTCTGGATGGCCTGAACCCCTCGGCCTATCAGGCCCTGGCGGCTCAGCTGCTGGATGTGGCGGTGCGGGTGCGCGTCGTTCGCCCGAATGCGGTCCGCTGCATGATTGGTCTGATCCGCGACCCGCGCATCGGTGCGGCCGCCAGTTTGACCGCCGCCGCCGCCGCCGGGGCTGCTGGCTCCGGGACCGGCGGTGGCCAGGGCAACCGCCCGTCCGGCGGTCTGCGCGACGTCATCCTCGAGGCTGCCGCCTGGCTTGTGGGCGAGTATTCGGAGTGCGTGCCGCTTTGGATTCATCTTTCCCCCCTCTCCGCTTGTTGTCTCCTTCTCTCCTCCTCCGTTTCCGCTCCTGCTGCGGCTGGCACTGATCCTCCTCCTCCTCCTCCTCCCCCCCCTCCCTCCCTCCCTCCCTCCTGCCTTCCCCCGACGGCCGCCAGGTATATCGATGCCTCCTTCCTGCCGTCGGTGGTGGATGTGCTGACGCACCCGCGCGCTCTGGCCGCCTCGGCCGGGTCGCCGCGCGTCCAGTCGGCTTACCTATTCAACAGCCTGAAGATGATTGCGCGTGCTTGCCTGCCGATCATCATCGAGTCCGAGGATGAGAACTCCGATTCGGATGCCTCCGATTCGGAGGAGCGCTCCGGCAGCTACATCGAGCCGACCGAGAGCCTGGTTGCCCGGCTGGACACCATCCGCGCCTGGGTCCTGAACAAGGTCCTGCCCACGATGAAGCGCTATTCGGCCTCCATGTCGGCCGAGGTCCAGGAGTGGGTGCGTGCTGCAATCTCCCCTTCTCTCTCTTTCTCTCTCTTTTTTTTCTCTCTCTCTCTCTCTTTCTTCCTCTCTCTCCTCTCTCTTCCTCTTCCTCTCTCTCTCTCTTTCTTCCTCTCTCTCCTCTCTCTCTCCCCCCTCTCTCTCCCTCTCTCTCTCTCTCTCTCTCTCTCTCCTCCCCTCTCTCTCTCTCTCTCCTCTCTCTCCTCCCCCTCTCTCTCTCCCTCTCTCTCCCTCTCTTTCCCTCTCTCTCCTCTCTCTCCCTCTCTCCCTTCTTCTTTCTCCTTTTCCCCTCCTCCCACTTTCACACACAGCTGACCGATTGCTTGTTCTCCGTCGGCAACTCAGGCAACCATTACCGCGGCCGTTCTGGAGGCTGCCTTCACCCATGAGGACCCGGCCACCGTTGTGCAGGTCAGCCAGAAGATCGGCCAGATCCTGGACATTGGTGGTGAGGATGCCGGCCCCCTGTCGCCCGGCTCGCCGGTTGCCTCATCGGCCTCGCTGGCATCCTTCCGCTCTGCCATCGACCCGACCTCTCTGTGGGCCCTCTTCGATGGGGCCCTCAACCCGGTGGCCGCCACGGCCCAGAGCCGTGTCCCCATCCCCGAGGGCCTGGACCTGGAGTCCTGGATCGATGAGCCTCTCAGTGACGAGGAGGCCGAGCCGGCCCCCCATTCGCATCCGGCCAGCGTTGCCGCGCGCTTTGATGCTGGTACGCTGCACCCGCCTCGCTGCCCTTCCCCTTCCTCCTCCATCCTTCCCCCCTGGCGGCGCGCGACCCCTGCTATCATCGCATTCATTTGCATGCCTCTCACGCGCATCCACCTACGCTGGCTTTCCCCCCCCCCCCGCATGCCCTGCCACCTGTAGGTCCCATTCGGGGCATCGAGTCGTACATGGGCGAGGTGTCCTCCGACGACGAGCAGGGCCCCTCAACCTCCGGGAGCATGCCCCGCACTGGGGCCCCCCATGTCGGCAGCAAGGCCGCCCCGGTCACTTCGTCCTCCATTGACCGGTCGAACAACCCCTTCTATCTGCCCTCGGGCCCGGCCAAGGCCAAGGCCGAGGCGATTCCGGTCACCTCGCTGGCGGTCAGTGAGCGCATCGAAATTGCCGAAATGCCGCCGGCCTCCGGCAGCGGTCGGTCCTCCAAGAGCGGCGGCAAGCGCACCAAGTCCAGCGAGTCCGGCTCCTCCTCCTCCAAGAGCGGCAGCCGGAGCAGCCGCCGGCACATCGAGGTCCTCAGTGCCAGCGAGATGCCGGAGGGTGTGGCCGAGCCGGCAACCAAGAAGCCCGGCGCCGGCAGCCGCGCCGGCATCGGGGCCATCGACCTGTTTGCTCCCCTGTCGGCCAACGAGCAGCTCCCGAGCGTGAAGGCCTACGAGTCGCCGCTGGAGGCCAAGGCTCGCGCGGAGCATGCCCACCTGCAGGCGCTCAAGGAGCACCAGCTTCGCATCGGGCAGATGGGCGCCCAGTCGCAGCAGCACCAGCAGCAGCATGCCGCCGAGGCTGGCGAGGTGAGGAAGAAGAAGAAGAAGTCTTCCTCCTCCAAGGACAAGCCCACGGAGGACGGTGTCGCCGGCGAGGCGGCGAAGAAGAAGAAGAAGAAGAAGTCTTCCTCCGACGCCGCCGAGGCCGAGGCCGTGCAGCTGGCCGAGGCCGAGGCGGCCCCCGTGAAGAAGAGGAAGAAGAAGTCCTCCTCTTCTCGCGGCGAGGCTGCGCCGGAGCCCCAGGCCGATGGGCCGGCCGCCGGCCTGTCGCCCAATATCATGGACATGGCGTTCACCGACATGCCGGTCACCCCGGTGGCGGTTCCGGTCGTCGAGGTGGTTCTCCAGAATCTGGCCGAGCCTCCTGCCGCCGAGGCGCCGCGTCCGCGCAAGAAGAAGTCCTCCTCTTCGAAGAGGGCCGAGGATGGCACCACCTCCTCTTCGAAGAAGTCCTCCTCCTCGAAGAAGTCCTCCTCCGGCCGGAGCAGCAGCAGCAGCAGCAGCAAGCGCGCGGCCGAGCCCGAGCCGGAGCCGCTTGTGGCTGCCGGCTCTCAGCAGCGCGACCGCTATGACGACCTGCTGGATGCCTCCTCCCCCGGAGACAGTGCCGTGCAGTCGCCCCTGCCTGGCGGTCTGTCGCAGTTGATCGACCTGGACTTTGGTGGGTCTCTCTCCGGCGTCGGCTCGCCGGCGGCGGCCAACGGCGACAGCCGGTCCGAGATGCCGCTCCTGGGTGGCCTGCTCGGAGACGGGACGCTCAGTCCCTCGGCTGGGATTTTCACGGTTAGCAGTGCCAGCCTCGGCCCTGCGCCGGCTCTGACTGTCGGCCCGGCCGAGCGGACCGCCTTTAGCAACTCCCTTCTGCAGCTGGTCCGTGTCGGTTCTTCCTTCTGGTT